AGAGAGAGAGAGAGAGAGAGAGAGAGAGAGAGAGAGAGAGAGAGAGAGAGAGAGAGAGAAGGGTGGGTGGATTTCATTCAGAGACACACAGTAGGCGGAGCGAGATGAGCTAGTCGTCAGCCAATCAAGCACAAGTCAACAGAAGAATTCCAGCATACTTGACCACCAAGAAAGCACAACTAAGGGCATAAACGAAATTGAAAAAACCCACACGTTCGTTCTTGATTCTGATGTGTAGTACTCATCCTGGCAGGTGGCCTCTTTTTTCCCATCAGGGGGTCAGCAGAGGAGTGGGCGGAGAAGGAGGAGGGAGAGTATGAAGGAGGCGTGCTCTTGGCAGAATACTGCTGTTTTTTTTCCTTTTTTGTTTTTTTCTTGTTGGGGGGGGGGGGGGGGCGTGCTGGGGCAGTCTGGCTCCAAGCCCCGCTGCAGAGGCTTAGTTCCGCCTACGAGTACTTTTCAACATGGTCAAAAAAAAAAAAAAAAAAACATGGTCACATTCTGGGCGTGAGATGTTCAGATCGGATGGCAGGCAGAGACCCATGTTTACCCCAGAGTTCAAACCAGAACTAAACCCCCTCAACTGGGGGGCATTGGGAATGGCCCTGCGTCTCAGGTCTTAGGGCCTCGCCACACAGCCTGTCGAAACGCAAAAACGACAAAAATGTGGCAGGTGCATCTGGCCATGTTCTAGCGTGAAGTTCATCTCGTTTTGCACATTTCGACAGCCTGTGTGGCGAGGCACAGCTGAGGCTCCATCCGATTGGTGAAGAGCAGTTCCTGCTGGCAATTGGCACTAGTATCCCTCCCTTATTTTATATTTTGCTTTCTTTTGTTTTTTTCTTTTTCTTTCCTTTTTTTTCTTTTTTTACCTTCCTTTTCGTCTTTTTTAACCTTCCTTTTCCGTTTTTGTTTTGGTGTGTAGTACTGTGTACCCTGCAGAGGAAATGCTTCCCTTCTTTTTGTTTTCCACGTCAATTCTTGTGCAGCACGGATTTGGAGCATGAATTTGGGCCTCCTATCTCAAGCTTTTCTTTTTTGTGCGGTGCGGGGCAGGTGAACATAGACGTGATTTCCTGGCTAGGTGCATACCATGTGAAGAGTGAAGTTTACGAGAAGGCTATGCCTTACTTCGACTTGGCCGCAAAGATTCAGCCGCACGAGGTCAAGTGGCAGCTGATGGTCGCCTCGTGTTACCGAAGAATAGGCGCTTACCCAATGGCACTAGCGAAGGTGTGTGTTTGTTCGTTATTAAGCTTTGGTGTCCGTCTCATCGTAGCTATCCTTTTATTCTTTTTATTCTTTTTTATTTTGTATGTTGTTAGTTTTACTTTTCACATGGATGGAGCTCACTAGCCAGAAGGGAAAAAAATGTCCTGTTTTAGAAAAAGAAGAGAAGAAGAAGAGAAGAGAAAGAAGAACAATGACAACAATAACAACAACAGCAACGACAAAAAGAAGAAGAGAAGAAGAACAAAAAGAAGAAGAAGAAGAAGAAGAAGAAGAAGAAGAAGAAGAAGAAGAAGAAGGACTGTGAAAACAAGGCCAACTGTGTCTCGTCCATGCCTAAACAGGTAGGACTACGTAGAAGAAGAAGAAGAAGAAGAAGAAGAAGAAGAAGAAGGACTGTGAAAACAAGGCCAACCGTGTCTCGTCCATGCATAAACAGGTAGGACAGTGTAAAAGGAGAAGAAGAAGAAGAAGAAGAAGAAGAAGAAGAAGAAGAAGAAGGATTCTGAAAACAAGGCCAACTGTGTCTCGTCCATGCATAAACAGGTAGGACGGCGTAAAAGGAGAAGAAGAAGAAGAAGAAGAAGAAGAATGATTGTGGAAACAAGGACAACTGCTTCTCATCTATGCATAAACAGATAAGACGTACATCAGCTGCACAGACAGTCTTCGCCATAGCTCTAAAACCGCCAGTACCTCCGAGGGTGTTTTTCCTGATGGCAATTTCCCTTGCGTGCCAATAAAACACCGAACCTTTCTTCTTCTTCTTCTTCTTCTTCTTCTTTTGGCTCTGCTCTATTCGTGGGGAGCTTCACATGCTGGGAACCGAGCCCCACATACCGTACAATCATTTGAACAATTAGGAAGAGATCAGATAGTAGCTACCGGGGCCATTAATTACCCGGCTTCGGCTATGAAACTCTGAGAATTTCTGAACCATCTCTAGCCCCTTGGAGAGATTTTCTATACAGCTTAGAAGACCTAAACACCCCGAAGAATTCTTCCCAAGAAGGGGAAGAAAAATTGACTGATGCATACAGAGAGACAAAATGAATCCTCCCAAGCCGACTAAACCACCACCCAACCCCAATCCTCCCTCCGGCAAGACTTAGTGCCCGTCACAAGCCACCATCTCATCAGCCGCTTTGCCTCCACTGTCCCGATCTCGCAACCTACACGCCGGCACTCTCAGGACACMMACACAMAAAAAAAAAAAAAARAAAAAAAAAAAAAAAAAAAAAAAGACACCCTCACCAACTACCAGCCACTCCACTTAGTCAAGGCAAGGAAGAGCTTTTTTTTTTTTTTTCTTTTTTTTTTTTCAACAAAAGCTCCATCTATTGGTGGGGAGCAACACCTGCTGGGAAACTGGTCCGCCGTCCTGCCTCTTTCCTATCCAGATCCATACATGCGAGCCATTCTTATTACCTCGGTAGTTTTCGCCCAACTTTGGTTCATAGCAGCAGTTTATCTGATATCCAAACCGACTACCCGACTCATCACTGCGGATGCTGCGCGGTACCTCTGGAAGCCAGGGGAGTCTCAAGGGGGAGGCTTCATCAGTAAATGTGCGCGGAACAAGGTCACTTCCTCCAAGGCGGAAGGAGGACTGGGCATTGTTGACCCAACAACCCAGAATGCTGCACTGTTGGGGAAATGGCTTCAGAAGGCTGTCACGCAGGCGGAGAGAAGGGCCTGGATAGTCATTCTAGAGTACATCCTACAGCGTGAGTTTGCATTGGCAAGGGCTGAGGACCTGTGGCATTGCGTCTTTATGGCTTCCTTCTCTCGCAGGCAACCTCGGTCAGTATTGGGTGCAGCCTGCTGGACAGCCTGGAGAGCTCTACAACCACAAGTAATTAAGGAGCCAATGACCAGGGAAGAGGTATTGCGCCAACCTCTATTCGATAACCCAGCCATCCTGAATCTACAGGGCCAACAGTTTGTTGCGACCTCATCACCAGGAGACTTTGGCAGGAGGTGGGTGGAACGAGGAGTCACAATCATTTCAGACATCTGGCAAGAGGATACTAACTCCTGGACAACCGCTGAACAGCTTCAGGGCAAACTCAAACATCTCCCAAGAACAAGAGACAGACTCCAGCAGCTGCAAACAGCCATCCCAGCACAATGGCAATCTCTGCTCCGGTCCTTGGACCCTGTGGAAGTGAATGGTACCTTGACCCCCAAGCACCAGGAAGGGAGACGGTCTTCCGTGGAAACAGACGAGGCCAAGACCCAACTTGCAGCTGTTCCAATACTCTTCACGAGCAGGCAGACAGCTATTAAACAAGCACACAGGACTGGCTCAAGGGGCGGCACATGCCCTGAACCTCATTATGCCAGCTCAACCGCCAATCATGGGAAGGGATCTGACAATGCTGTGGGAGCAACTACCAACTCTCCCCTCGCGGAAGTTCTCAAGTCTGCTCTGGCTTATCTCCCATTCAGCTCTCCCCTGCGCAGTCTGGCTGTTTGAGAAAGGGATGGAGTTGGAAACTAAATGTAGACGCTGTGGCTGCAGAGCAGAAGAAACCTTTCACCACCTCATATGGAGCTGTCCAGCCTCCAGACGTATATGGGAGTGGTGGAGCCGTCATTGGTACCGATTCGTGGGACCCCTCCTGCAATGGGACGAAGTCTGGGCCTTGCTTGGTCGTCTTCCACCGTCTTGGTTCAAACACATTGGTCGTGGTTACGTGGCCCAGGCAATCCGCTTTGTTATCATCTGGGTGATTTGGGAGGACAGAAACAATGTCCTCTTTCGGCAACAGTGGTCCAATGACGCTGCCATCATCCAAAAGATCAAGCACTGGATACGCATCATGATCAGAATGGACTGGGCCAGACGGGCAAAGAAAGGTACAACGCCAAGAGGACGTCACTGGTTCCTTGTTACATGGGCACGAGACAACCAGCTGGCTGCTATCACGCGGGAGGGCAAGCTTCGCATTTCCCCTTGGCTCTCGGGTCAGTAGTTTTGGTTACCTTTTCTATGAACCAGGACACTCGGTTCCAGTGGGCGGCCACAGTAGGCCGCAGAGGGTTGGTGGGATGGAGAGGGTCAGGTTACCCCAATGGAACTCCGGTTCCTCCTGCCCATAGCAGACCGGGATTCAGACCGATAGGTAGGTCTGTGTACTCTTGTAGTTGTAGGATAGGGACGATACAGATAATTGAGTAGGTAGCAGTGTTGAGAGAGGAGTATGATCTTTTTGTGAAAGACTTAGCAATTTGGTCAATAGGCACCAGACAGTTGATTGAGGAGTGGTTTCATAAGCTAAACCGGCTGATGCTGCCGGGATAACTTCGGGTTGAATTGTGCGGTCCCCGGGGCTAGGTCCCACTTACAGCGACATTGACCGTAGATTGCAAAGATCAACGGCCAGAATCTCTTAATCCGTGCAAGTGGGACCTTGCCCCCGGCCTCTGTTGACGCATTGATTGATAATAAGGAAAAGAACTCTTCTCCCCTTCCCCCCGCACCCCMCCCCCCCCAAAAAAAAAAAAAAGGCTGGGCACTCTCCACCAGCGGAGAGTGCTTTTCAAAGGAGGGGTTTGTGACAGCTATCCAAGGGTTTTTGGACGGTGGAAAGTGCAGCGATGAAAACTCTCCGAATTTCCGGCAAGTGTTGCTCCCCACAAATAGATCGGAGCAAAAAAAAAAAAAAAAACTCTCCGAATTCGGAGAGCGGAGAGTGGTGCAGCGAGAGCACCATGAACTAAAAAAAAAAAACTCTCCGAATTCGGAGAGCGGAGAGTGGTGCAGCGAGAGCACCATGAACTACTGAGACGCAGAGCTGGGGCCTCGCTGCACTACTCTCCACATGCACAAAAGACAAAAAATTATGGCGGTGCATCTTTCCATGTTCTAGCAGAAGATTCATTCTCATTTTGCACATTTTTGCAGCCATAGGCTGCGCTTTACCCCGGTCGCCGTTTGTCGTTTAGCGAAAACTTTCCCTTTCGGGAAAGTCGACGACCGTCAACCGGGGTCTACAGAGCGTGAACAGGGGTGCTGGAAGGGTGCGGTCGGGAACGTTAAAACGACTGGTAGGCCTATCGGTCGTCCCAGAGCTCAGAGGCTCAACGACCGGTGTTGGGTTGGGAAGGTCGTTGAGGCGACCAGCTTGGTCGGCGTCCGCGTTTCTCGTTTGGGTAAAAGGGGGGGTGTGCAGAACGAGAGTGAATCTTCTGCAAGAACATGGAAAGATACCTCGCCAAGATTTTTGTAGCACTAGGGACAGACAAAGAGTCCCCTCAGAGTGAATCGTCCGCAAGAACATGGAAAGATACCTCGTGCAGATTTTTTTTGTTTGTTTCTTTTTCTTTTATATGCATGTCTGTCAATGCATGTCGTCGAGACGAGAGCAGCAGTGGAGCGAGGCCCAGAGTCTAGGGGCCTCGCCACACACAGCCTGTCGAAAGGCGAAAAAGACAAAAAAAAATGTGGCATGAGGAAACTCAACGCGAGGTCCTGCACCTCTCCACAAACACGTCCTCATTCGGGCGTTGAAGGAAGCCAACGCTGCTAGTGGGACTTGGCCCCAGAACAAATTTACATGGCACTGGATCTGAGGATTGGCCTGGAATAGAGTCGCCCCGAGTACAACACACCGTCATCATGGCCGTATCCGACCAGAAAAGTAGGTAGTATGCATTCATGATCAGGGTACGTCTGTTTTTTTTTTTGTTTTTTTTTTTTGGGGGGGGGGTGGGGGGGGGAAGAGGGTAGTAGCCTTCATGTAGGGGGCCGGACCCCCTCACGGTTGAGGTGGCATGATCAACATCGATGGGGATATTGGAGCCATGGTTGTGATAAGCGAAGCGTGCTCAAGAAGACAAGACGGACTCTCTCTCAGGTTCACCTTTCTCGGGAGAGGTCCCACTAGCAAAGAGGATTGGGTTAAACTCCTGGATCTGGACGTCTTTTACGCAGACATGCAAAAAAGCAGATCAATCACG